TACCATAACACAAAATGTACAAAGGTTTGGCAAAAACATCAGCGGTCCTTTGAATGAATAATGGTTTTTGCATTTTTACTATTTTAAAAAAATAGCAAGGCTAAAGTAAAATTTTGCCAGGGTGCACTTGATCAAACTACCGGTAGGTATAGGGAGGGGGGGGGGGTATTTTTCTTCAGGCCAGTCAAAGAATTAATTTACCAAACACATTTGGATTCAATTTACTGTTCTAATAAGCTTGCATATTGGTAGTTGTTTCTGTGCTTAGCATGATAAAATTAAATTACCTATAATATTACACTTTTCAAAGAATTTCATCGTTACAGACTTGCATTTTAACTTACAGCAAAGAAACCACTCAGTCACTCAGTCAATCACACACAAGAATCTTGATTTTAAGTGGCACTGTATTCTAAATACAGAGTGCCCCTAATCCAGACGCTGATGCTGTGGCCGACAAGACATTAGCTGCTTGGCTGACTTCCAGCAATAAGATAGCTTCTTTCAACCAAGTGTCAGCCACTCTTCTTGGCATACCTTGTAACTGATTCACATATCTAACAGCTTGGTCAAAATCACCATGTTTTATATGGTAATCTGCAAAAGCTAACAATTTAAATGTATCAAGCTGAGTAAGATCTAATTCTTCATCTAACGGTGGCCGGGGATTGTCTATAATCAGAAAAGATTGAAAATAAGACAAGAAATATCGAAAAGGACTGGTTCCTACTTCATCAACTAATGCAACTCTCTTGCATACTTTTTTGACATGTTTCCACCTAGCGATTAGACTTTCTTCTGTAAACACTCCCCTTGTTAAGGCATCTTCTGGGATTGCTTCTAGTATACCATGGACAACTGGTATTGAGCTGCCAGCCTCTTTTATAGCTGCGACCTCATTATCAAGTGGAGTCAGGACATCGCTTTCCCTTCTCACCTAAGAAGATAAATTAAGAAGTTTGCTTTGACATTTCTCATTATTTAATCATTTGATATTTTTGTCAAATTACTTTAACCTTTTCACCACTAGTTCCCTCTTTCATCACAAATTCACAAAATGTTCCTGTATATTGTCTGTTGGCTCCAAAACTAAGGTTCATTTCTAGAAATATTGAATAATATAAGAAAAAAATGCAGAATAATTTGAATGAGAAAGTCTGGTGGTGAATAGGTTAAATGAACACACATCAGAACTGCACAGGTGCCTGTTCTCTGTATTGACCCTGTAAAATCAGTTGCTATGGAAATAAGATTCCTGTTGGGTGGGACTCGCAACATGCACATGCTCTGCCCTTCAGATAAATAGACATTAGAAAGTAGTGTTCATACCATACTTGACTGTCCTTCGAAGTGCCTCACATGCAAGCCATAGTTCTTGAGCATTTTCAGATTGTTTCTCTAGATCTGCTCTGTCTGAAATTGATACATTTTACCAAATAAGTATTAATACTGATGAACT